TGTACCCTGGATAACCACCACAATGTTTGAGTGAGGTTGATATGGTAGAAATTATGTTTTTATACTGAACGAATAGCATTTAGGGATTGCAAATATGTAATAGCACTGGAATTATTTAATTTACAGACATACAGTGCATTCGGAATGTATTCAGACCCCTTGATATTTTCCACATTTTGTTACTTTACAGCCTTACCCTAAAAAGTTTATTTTTATTTTTATTCAGCAATCTACACAAATGACAAAGCGAAAACAGGTTGACATTTTTGCACATTTATTAAAAATAAAAAACAGAAATACCTAATTTACATAAGTATTCAGACCCTTTGCTATGAGACTCGAAATTGAGCTCAGGTGCATCCTGTTTTCATTGATTATCCTTGAGATGTTTCTACAACTTGATTGGAGTCCACCTGTGGTAAATTCAATTGATTGGACATGATTTGGAAAGGCACACACCTGTCTATATAAGGTCCCACAGTTGCATGTCAGAGCAAAAACCAAGCCATGAGGTCGAAGGAATTGTCTAGAGAGCTCCGAGACAGGATTGTGTTGAGGCACAGATCTGGGGAAGGGTAGCAAAACATTTCTGCAGCATTGAAGGTCCCCAAGAACACAGTGTCCTCCATCATTCTTAAATGGAAGAAGTTCTGAACCACCAAAACTCTTCCTTGAGCTGGCCGCCTGGCCAAACTGAGCAATCGGGGGAGAAGGGCTTTGGTCAGGGAGGTGACCAAGGACCCATTGGTCACTGACAGAGCTCTAGAGTTCCTCTGTGGACATGGGAGAACCTTCCAGAAGGACAACCATCTCTACAGCACTCCACCAATCAGGCCTTTATTGTAGAGTGGCCAGACGGAAGCCACTCCCCAGGAAAAGGCACATGACAGCCCACATGGAGTTTGCCAAAAGGCACCTAAAGGACTCTCAGACCATGAGAAACAAGATTCTCTGGTCTGATGAAACCAAGATTGAACTCTTTGGCCTGAATGCCAAGAGTCACATCTGGAGGAAACCTGGCACCATCCCTAAGCATGGTGGTGGCAGCATCATGCTGTGGGGATGTTTTTCAGCGGCAGGGACTGGGAGACTAGTCAGGATCGAGTATGAGATGAACGGAGAAAAGTACAGAGATCCTTGATGAAAACCTGCTCCAGAGTGCTCAGGACCTCAGACTGGGGCAAAGGTTAATCTTCCAACAGGACAACGACCCTAAGCACACAGCCAAGACAACGCAGGAGTGGCTTCGGGACAAGTCTCTGAATGTCCTTGAGTGGCCGAGCCAGAGCCGGACTTGAACCCGATTTGACATCTCTGCAGAGACCTGAAAATAGCTGTGCAGTGACGCTCCCCATCCAACCTGACAGAGCTTGAGAGGATCTTCAGAGAAGAATGGGAGAAACTCCACATATACAGGTGTGCCAAGCTTATAGAGTCATACCCAAGAAGACTTGAGGCTGTAATCGCTGCCAAAGGTGCTTCAACAAAGTACTGAGTAAAGGGTCTGAATACTTATTTAAATTTGATATTTCCGTTTTTTTATTTTTTATACATTTGCAAAAATTTCTAAAAAACTTTTTTCTTTGTCATTATGAGATATTGTGTTTAGATTGATGAGGGGAAAAAACAATTTAATCAATTTTAGAATCAGGCTGTAACGTAACAAAATGTGTAAAAAGTCAAGGGGTCTGAATACTTTCCGAATGCACTGTATGCCACTTTGGAGAGGCGTAGGGACACTTGGAAATGTCCCATGTCCACACCTGACACCACTTACAAAAACATCTGCCCATTTATAGTTGTTAGGTCTAACGATCCCTTTTTTTCTGATATTGTTCACATGTTGTGGAAGCCATCTGATGTGTTTCCAGCTCTAGTCATCAATAATTCACTTATAGCTTGTCAATGAAAGAAGACTTTCAAAATAAATAAAATAAAAACTGTTATTTTGTGTGTGCTTGATCTTGTGTATTCTTAACTACAGGACCAGTCAAAAGTTTGGACACCTACTCATTACAGGGTTTTTCTTTATTATTACTATTTTCTACATTGTATAATAATAGTGAAGACCTAAAAACTATGAAATAACACATATGGAATCATGTAGTAACCAAAAAAGTGTTAAACAAATCAAAACATATTTTATATTTGAGATTCTTCAAAGTAGCCACCCTTTGCCTTGATGACAGCTTTGCACGCTCTTGGCATTCTCTCAACCAGCTTCATGAGGAATGTTTTTCCAACAGTCTTGAAGGAGTTCCCACATATGCTGAGCACTTGTTGGCTGCTTTTCCTTCACTCTGCGGTCCAACTCATCCAAAACCATCTCAATTGGGTTGAGGTCAGGTGATTGTGGAGGCCAGGTCATCTGATACAGCACCAAATAGCCCTTACACAGCCTGGAGGTGTGTTTTGGGTCATTTTTTTATTTATTTAAATTGTTTGTCATTTAGCATCGTCCTGTTGAAAAACAAATGATAGTCCCACTAAGCCCAAACCAGATGGGATGGCGTATCGCTGCAGAATGCTGTGGTAGCCATGCTGGTCAAGTGTACCTTGAATTCTAAATAAATCACTGACAGTGTCCCCAGCAAAGCACCCCGACACCATCACACCTCCTACTCCATGCTTCACGGTGGGAACGAAACATGCAGAGATCATCCGTTCACCTACTCTGTGTCTCACAAAGACCAGAGTTTGGAACCATACATTTCCAATTTGGACTCCAGACCAAAGGACACATTTCCACCGGTCTAATGTCCATTGGTCGTGTTTCTTGGCCCAAGCAAGTCTCTTATTATTATTGATGTCCTTTAGTAGTGGTTTCTTTGCAGCAATTTGACCATGATTCACGCAGTCTCCACTGAACAGTTGATGTTGAGATGTGTCTGTTACTTGAACTCTGTGAAGCATTTATTTGGGCTGCAATCTGAGGTGTAGTTAACTCTAAGGTAACTCTGGGTCTTCCTTTACTGTGGCGGTCCTCATGAGAGCCAGTTTCATCATAGTGCTTGATGGTTTTTGCAACTGCACTTGAAGAAACGTTAAAAGTTCTTGAAATGTTCCGGATTGACTGAATGTCTTAAAGTAATGATGGACTGTCGTTTCTCTTTGCTTATTTGAGCTGTTCTTGCCATAGTATGGACTTGGTCTTTTACCAAATAGGGCTATCTTCTGTATACCACTCATACCTTGTCACAACACAACTGATTGGCTCAAACACATTAAGAAGGAAAGAAATTCCACACATTAACTTTTAACAAGGCACACATGTTAATTGAAATGCATTCCAGGTGACTACCTTATGAAGCTGGTTGAGAGAATGCCAAGAGTGTGCAAAGCTGTCATCAATGCAAAGGGTGACTACTTTGAAGAATCTCAAATATAAAATATATTTTGATTTGTTTAACACTTTTTTGGTTCCATATGTGTTATTGCATAGTTTGGATGTCTTCACTATTATTCTACAATGTAGAAAATAGTAAAAATAAAGAAAGACCCTTGAATGAGTAGGTGTGTCCAAACTTTTGACTGGTACTGTATGTAACTCCTATCTATCTTCTGATCATTTCCTCATAATCTCCCAGATGTCTTCTTTCGAAATATACCTAGTTTTTGCATGTCAGATGCATGTAATTACACATGAATAGCAGTTACTTTTGGGTATGTCTATTTAGGCAGAAATCTACATTTTGCCATTACATTTAAGAGGTTTTTAATTGACAGCAGGCTTGATTAACCATTGATCATTATCAAAATCAGTATACGAGTTATATGACTTCAGTTTGAAAACATGGACATAGGCAAAGTCCGCAAGTGATTCCAATCTCCTCTCCCTCCCCCTCCCCCTCGGCTCGGGGATTCAAACCAGCGGCCTTTCAGTTACTGGCCCAACGCTCTTATCTGCTAGACTACCTGCCATATTTGATCGTGTCTCAATGTAATCAAGGTATGAAATGATTGTTATTTTCAAATACAATCTCTTTCGGCCCCCCGACCATTCGCGCCGACAAAAAAACGTCCCGCGGCTGAAACTAGTTGCCTACCCATGCACTGTTTATGTGAACAGGTTGCCATGTTGGATAATGTAATGGCATCTAGCCTGATAAACGAGGAACATAGCCTACATCAGAGGAGGCTGGTGGGAGGAGCTATATGAGGACGGGCTCATTGTAATGGTTGGAATGGTATTAATGGGGTGGAGTCAAACACATCAAACATATGGAAACCACATGTTCGACTCTGTTACATTTATTTCATTCCAGCCATAACAATGAGCCCGTCCTCCTATTGATCCCCCCACCAGCCTCCTCTGGCATACATGTACATTTATTCTCGTTCAGTATGATAACATTGCTGTTTTATGTAGCCTAACACAAACGACATGGGTAGAGAGGCAACACCTGATGTGAAGTTCTTAAAATAGCTTCAGTAACTGCAAACTTATAAGCCTGACCTTTCATGCTCATGCATGCCCGTCTGCAGTGGGCTATAGTGGCTATAGCAGGCAATGAACTGATATAATGTTTCGTTGGTTTTTCATTCAGGCCATTCGCAGAAGTTTGCAGAAAAACTACCAAAAGGCATGTTACAATAATACACAGTGTCAAGCAAGTGAATATGTCAAACCTGAACGTTTTTGTCTGGCTTTGATTTCCAGGAGTTTCCTGCCGACATCTGCCAAGCTTGACATGTTGGTTGGTTCTCTGTTTACCAAGTAACCAGCACGTTGCGACACTGCTGTGAACTAGGAAGTGCTGATGATGTGATGTCACACCACCCATTTTATTAACATGTCAATAGTCTATCTCCCTCTTGTGCCATTTATGTTATTTACCTTTATACATACGACTAAATAAGCCTGTCGATTGTGTTATTTTTGACTGGTGTCGAACCCCACGCGTTTATGCTTAATGCATTGCTTGCTGTCGTTTCACCATCTGCCGTAAACCAAACGCGCACTGCAGTATTCCAGTTTGTGTTGTTTGAATTGAACAACTATGAGGATGTGGATATTGTTTATCAAGATTTTTACCTTTACTGTATATTTTGCAGGGCAGTATTCAGCATATGCTCTTCAAGATGTAACAACTGACTTGTTTGGGTCTGAAAATCATGGCACTGTGGCTGCTTTTGGTGATTTCAACTCGGATAAACAGACAGATATTTTCATCATCAGAGAACGTGAGTAGCTAACGTTAGCTAGCTAGCTGGCTAGAATACTGTTCAGTGTTTTGCATTGGCTTTTCAATAGGATACATTTCGTTAGTGAATAATATAGAAACGTTAGCTAGATACTAGATGAGGCTACTTGAATTAATGACATTTGCTGTGCATGTGTTCCAAAAACTCATAGGATGCTAGGTAATCTAGCTAGCTAGCTAAACCCAGCTGTTAGTGCCAGTGCTGTCAAATTGTCTGGTAAGCAGCTAGCTAGATAAGTTAGCTAGTCATGTAGCTAACACAATTATTTACAATTTGCTCTACTACATTGACTAATAGGGATAGTACATATCGGGTGCCACTGTCACCTGCCATTGAAACAGAGACAGGAAATGCAGAGCAATGAAAACAGTGATGACGTAGCAATCTATTCTCTCAGCTTTGAAAAGCTGTTTGTTGTTCAATGCAAACCTACATTACAAGACACATTAGCCTAGTAGCTAGATTGAAACAAAAACATAAAATGGTTATAGCTCTCTCACAATGAATGTCTTTCAGTGAATTTGTCACTGCATTGTTGATATGGTTTTGTGACTGTTCTGTGGTGACTATGAAAGTGATAATTGTGTGCATTTGTTTTTATTGGATATTTCATTGAACTTTCAGAATCTGAGTTGGTGATATTCTTGGCTGATCTAAAAGCCCCATACTTCAAGCCAAAAGTACATATCCCTAAATATGCTTTGCCCACGTAAGTTTCTGATCTTATTCTCTCAATTGTTCTAGTGCACACACCACTTCTCATCTTGAAGCATCAGTAATTCCACATTGTCCAGTCAAACTCTGTGGGTTAGGGTAGATTGGCACAATATGATTTTAACTGTCACTGAGAAAAGCCCTATGCTGTTCTTTACTGGCTTATGTCAACAGCAGGCACTCAGTGAATGTCTTTCCTCTTTCAGCAATTTTATCATAACTGGTGTTGTTCCCGGAGACTACGATGGCGATTCTCAGATGGATGTGCTTCTTACAGCTCAGCTCAAGACCGAGGCCAACTCGAATACAATGGTTTTTGTATTCTGGGGAAACAACCAAACCCTGGGTAAAATTGTAGCTCTATTAGGCCTAGATTCAGGCTTATGGAATACAAAGTTTGAGGCTTGTAGAAAAAAAGACTGTACTCTAACACAGTCAGAAAGTTAACTTCTGTTAACTGTTATTAAATAGCTAACTGATTAACATCTCTTATCTGGTTTTGCAGATGGGCAAGTTGACCTTAATAAGACATTTGTGGACCAACCTCTGATAATGGAGTAGGTTATGCATGCAACATTTTAATTTTACAAATCACCCATAGCAGTTGTTTTCTATGATGATATTCCATGTCAGCAATATTGTTTTCCTAAACTTTGTCCTATGATCTTGCTCATGAGTTGGGAGTTTTGACGGTTCTATAAATGAAATTCTCTTACGCAGCTTCAATGGGGACATGATTCCAGACATCTTTGGGGTTATTGCTGGGGTTTCTGCTGATTCCTCCACTGAAGTCTGCTATCTTACTGGAAGGTAAGGTGGAGATTAAAAAAGTGACTCAATGCTTTGCAGTCCCCATAGACATTATTTTATTTTTACATTATTCTCCATGTCTTGACAAAACTCAATTGCAATACATTTAAATATTGTAGATATATGCAGTGTTAAAAACACTACCTTTGTTGGTTGGTTCTGTGTTTTTTCAGAATGTCTGCTTAGCACATGAATCATGTGTTGTTTTCTTTCCCCATAGGAACGCAGTGTGGCAGCCAGCTCTTAGTTCACCTCTCAAGATGCGTATTCCTCATTCCAATGCTTTCATCGACCTAAACAAGGATTTCACCGCCGGTGAGTAGGCAAATATCCTAAATGGGTTATTGGAACCTTGCATTGCCAGACTCAGTAATCTGGCATTAGAGACAGGCTGGATGGAAGCTAATTGAGAACCATACCAGATTAGATTATTGTTGTACATGGTGTGTGTACTGCTGGTGTGCAATATCTTTTCCATTTCTTCAGCAAGATTGGAGTCTGTAGACTCACTTTCTACAATGAAACATATGGACAGTGTGGCATGGCAATCTAATGGCTGTGTGATCAGTCTCTTTAGCATTAGCGTCGAGAGTAGTGAGTTAATTCTGGGGAATTGGGCACTCTTCTGGAGCTTGGTAAGTAGATGCTTGTATAAATGGTCAGAATCAGTGTTTCACATACTGTATACAAAAGCAGGGAAGTTGAGTCTGTTCTTGGCAGCCCATCCTCTTCTCTTCATATCCTTTTGAATTGATATGATGTAGTAACTTGCTAAAGATTTGCTGTCTCTATTGGGATCAGTTTGTGGGTTACTTTGTGCTATTCCACCCTTGGAGAGAATGTAGGCCTGCTAGGTCCAGTATGGCAAAAATGAAAACACGAAGCAGACCAAACTCGAAGCACTCCAAACGTGTGTTATAGCTTGGAAAATAAATAAATATGACTCTGGATGACAATATAATGTTTGTTTCCAACATTATGGTTGTTTTCTTAAAGAAGTTAAATCCGCTTTGTGTTTTGTTTCCTTGCCACGACACTAATGAGTATTGCGGTACTGGTATCGTCCCGGCCCTAAGGCCTACTCTACAAGTTTCATGAGACAGCTGGGTAGATGATCTGTCTAGGCAATTATCACTTTTTATTTATATTGTGTGGAACACAAACTTTCTCCTAAGAGTTCCTTAAGCTCCAAACAATTGGATTAAAATTAAATATAGTTAAACAATTTTCAAGTTGACTAAGAGAGAGAGGAATTCCCATTTTCCTCACCACTGAATAAATATATCGGCTTCTTCTTGTTTTACTGGCTTTCTCTTTTTCCACAAAATGCCATCCGACAAACCTGTCACTTAGACTTAAGGTCCTGAAGTTTTATATATTTTTCTCCCAGGAAGTTAAATCTCATATTAAGACAATCACAGAGAATGTTGTCGTGTCTGACCTACGGCAGGTATCTTTTTGGGGTATTTGCTTACTGAGCTGTGACAGTTTAACCAGAGCATAATCATTCATATTTAAGCTGCTATGGGATTAGAAAGCATAGTCCTTTGGACACGCCATCCCACCTGGAGAGAGTATCTTAAAGGTTAGACTTCCTTGCTAAATCACAGACAGTCTATGTTGGTTTGTTTTTTTCTGTGCTGGGGTGAGGATTGGAACTGTGGGTGTTGACCACTTTTGTAAAATGCAAACAGGAATGTTACAACTCACAGGTTCAGCCAGTCAGTCAGTTTGAATGACTGCTCGCTGGCTGTTTCTCATATTCATCTTGTGTAAGAGGCTGTAGACTAGAGCATCTGTCCTAGGGGGATGTTTGCCTAGGTCTACAGAGAAGCAGAGCCCTGAGCCCCGGGGCACAAGTCAAGCTGGCAGGAGCCTGGCAAGAGTGCCGCACCCAAACCAGGAGGCTTCCCTGTCGCTGTGGAAACACTTTGCTGTTTCACTGATTGGCAGTCTGAAAAAACAAAACAGCTGTAGAGAAAATTGCTGCAGATTAAAAACAGCACAGAAATGTACAATGATATGCTCCTCTGCAGCGGGTGTCTGGTGCAGCCGCGTTTAGCTGTGAAGAGCTTAGCGTGGGAGTGAGGATGCTGCTTTTCAGGAGGAAATGGCCTGGTGAATTAGAGCTCTGTGTCTTTCCACTGCACCTGCATGCCTCTCTAAGCATGGGGAGACAGGGACTGGGACATGACTGTATAGCCTGTACTAGAGGTCAAGAGAGTGTGCAAAGTTGTTCCCATGTTTTCCAATACCTAATAGGATGCATAGAAGAAAGCCGTTGCAGTAAGTGGAAAATGATGTTAGGTTGTGTTATGTTGGAACATTTTAAGTGGACCTCATCTGGTTTGGACCACCACTTGCTATCGTTGTGGCCTGGTCAGCAGCATCACAGAGAGGTATTTTATTAGCATGCTTCCTATTCAGGGATAATCAGAGGAGGGTCAGCCCGTGTCGCAACTCCAATTTTAGTTGTGTTTAAAGCTGTAAACATAGACAGCCGAGCTGCATCCAGTGACCCTCTACCCACGACTCCTTTTAAGAGATCTGAAATTGCTTCCTGTTCAATGTCAAGGCCTCATTTAAGCTGTAAATTGGACTGTCGAGCAGCCACTGTCCCCCTCTACAGTATATCACATGGACAGTCTGTAGCATGTCTCATCTCTCTCTTCCACTTCTGTTGTTTTCTGTTCACTCCTCCTCATCCCCTATCTGATATATGTTCTGGTAGTGTATTAAGATGAGCAGCTTGTGATTACTACAGATGGTTAAGTATCCCTGTAAAAATGCTCCTAATTGGCTAATTCTGACACACAGTGGTGGGTTTACTGCTACCAGGATCATCAAGTCAGCAGGGCTGACACAATAAGACGAGCAATGGATGCTTAACGTGACAACGAGCTCCAGTAAGCCTCTAGCATCACATAACAACCTTGAAGGATTTTTACATTTCATTTTGTTTTACTTGGTTATATTTTACTACAACGTTGAGATTCCCTGGGGTCGGTATCAGTTTTATATCTCGATAATGGTTTTGCTATGCCGGGGAATAGGAATGTGAGAACTTATTAGGAAAAGGTGGTAATTGCCAAATAATTATAAATGTCATTATGCACAGAGACACTGAACCGATACTATCATATGGCTTGTCGCTAGGCAACGTGGCTTTGCAACGCTCCCCGCAGCATCCGTTTAGGAAAGCTTTTTCCAGTTCGAGAGAAGTTGATTGTTGGTGTAATTTAAGGGAAGCAGATTTGCCTCATCAAGGCTACTGGAGTGGGACTTCATAAAGAGGTTCAGTCATTGCAGAACTTGACGATTTTAACAGGCATATTTAGTCGTTGGGCCTGTTTTGAATCACTCTGTCACATTTTGCATGTTAGAAGCATTGCGTTGCTTTTTTTTCATACAGAATCATTTCTGGTTTGCGTAATATTGAGTAGGCTACCATATGTTTGCTAAGTGTTTGGCATAGGCCTACCTGTTTTTAAAGATCTACTGTAGGCCCACATTAAGTATTCATTACATATGCTGTAAATTAACATGATATAACAGCCACAGATTTTATACAGATACTGCAATCATGAAAGGATGAAATTAGCCTATATCTCATAATGGTATTGTACCGACTCGCCCTTAACATGGAACAGTACATTCTAATGTCATACATTCTACACTTGCTTCCCAGTGTTCAGTACTAATTTGAATAATTACAGAATTAAAACGAGCACAGTGCGCTAGTGAGGGACCAGGCTTTGAGGTGTAATGTTTACACCGAGTCTCTTCCGGAAAGCTGGCAGAGTATCAAACATACAGTACATTTGTTTGTATCAGTTTGTATAGATAAATGAATACATAAATAAATAAATAAATAAAGCATCTCATTTCTCACTGATGTACTGTAAACAGTATGTCTGTGGTCTCTGGTTGTGCTGCTGTTTCCAGTGCAATCCTCTTATGTGTAGTACTGTCCCCCTCCAGGCTTATAGTGGTATATTAGCATAATACCAAACAGGGTTCATCCATGTAGACCAAACGAACAGCAGTATCTGCCTGAAGCTTAACACTAAATTGTTTGAATAAATCGTTTTTATTGAAAGATCTACTGTATGCATTCACTCAACATGGAAAGATGTAACTGCTCTCTCTGTAAGTAAAATATTTGTCAAACCCACACAGTTGTTCTGATAAAGTAGCTTGAGGGGTGTCTGGAGCAAAGCCATGTTCACTACAGGAATCAGATAGGTTTGGAAGTACACACACTCTCTCCGACATGGGCACAATAACATTGCTCACATAGGCCTACACGTGTACGTAGGCTACTCTGCACGGATGGGCTTCCTAAGCTTGTTACAGGACTTCGGTGAGCAGTTACACGCCAGTGTATGAGGAGTTGGCGTAATCCCCCATAATGCACCTACGTTGTTCCCTTAATGGTTTATGAGATTATTTCTCCTCAGAATAGCATATTTCCATTTTCTGGTGCCGTTGTGTCATGTTTGTGAATGAGGTGCTTTGGGTTGAAGGCACACTGTGTATATTGACAGGAATTGGCTTATGGAGGGTTTATTTATGGGATTTCACTTTTTTCTGCCCTGAATTTCATGCTCTTCTCCATGCTCTTTTTTGCTTCATGTCGGAAGCTCACTTTGATGGAGTCTTTTGGGTTTGTTGCTAACTCGTTTAATGTCAGTTACACAAACAAGCTGAATGGGGGAAAACATTGATACAATATGGTATTTTATTTAAGATATGTGTGTCGGCACAGTCCAGCTCTCGTGCATTTTTCTCTGGCCTGTATAGTTGCATCTTTTAATGTCACGCCTAAATACTCCTTTGGGCTTTGGCAAGTTTTAAATTGGTCGTTTCACGTTCTGATCACCACCTCCCTGCAGAAGACAGAGACATATTTTATTCAAGCTGGCCAGGCAGTCTGTATCTCTCCCTTCCCGTCTTCCTTAATGGGACAATGGGTTGAGTGTTGGGTTACTGTCCTTGAGAGAAAACATATAGCCGTTTAGTGCGGAGAGTAAACCTCTGTAACTGATGACTGTCCATGTCCTGTCCTTGCTCAAACAGTAATCATTGGAGCATAAATGCCTGCCATTTTCAGCAATACAGAAATGATTCATTTAAATGATTCAAGTAAATGTCAATTTTTCATTTATCCGGTTATGCTGGCTGCATTTTGTCTGCGGCTGTCATCAGAATGGCTATTTGGTTGTCATCGATTCAGCATGGCTGACGTTTCAACCGTTGCCTGCCTGGTGTTCGGCAGGTCTGAAATTAAAACGATTTGTTTTACCCGGCACCT